TCCCCAGAGAGAGGTAGGCCTGATAGAGCTTCCAGCAGACGTAGGTGTAATTGAGAGAAGCATGAAGCTCTAAAGCTGCAACAATGCCCCACCAACAATACCGCGTACTGCCTGCTGTAAGACGTTGGTAGGCGTCCTCTCAGTCATGGTAAAGCGTCTGGCCTTGTCAATAAAAAGAAAGTGAAAAAGAGATGCTACCTGCTCCACAGTGGCTAGCTGTCCGGGAGAAGGAAGCTCCGGACAATGAACTTAGCAAAGAAGGTGCCCTCTGCAGCGACTCTGTGTGCGGCTCCAGTGTCGGCATTGGCCGGACGCGCGTAGCTGAGACCAAGGCCATGCTTCAAGAAGTCAAACCCTAGTCGGCGTGACCACCGTTATTTTCCATCCTGCCTGAACAGCAAACCGATAGCTGCAGACATTGTAAGCCAGGACCAACAGGACAGAACCATTCATCAAGTTCACTTGGTGCGTGGGAGACCGCCTGTTTCGGTAGTCGAACGAAGCACACTCCCAGCTGATAACAGCCGTCGGCTCGTTGCAGTCGCCGTGCAGAGGTGTCAGCCGCCAACCAGGGCTGAGTTCAAGCAAACCCCGTTGATAGAAACCAGGCCTTCAGCTTGCATAGCTGTATTGGCCGGCGCAAGTATTGCGCCGACTGCCAATAAACGGTTGAGATAGCAGGATTGCTTCGCTATGGGACTCAGACTGGTGAGGAAATCCACCGCAAAAGCAGCCGGTGACCGGAGTGCGGGCACACCCGATCTCCTACTTTCGTGATACCGGAATAAGAGATGAGGTAGATACGCCCTTGTCAGGTAACCCGGCAGCCGCGAAGGTCCCAAAGATCCGAATCGAGGGCAACCGCTACTTCCCCTTCCACTCCAAAAAAGCACTCCGACAACTTCCGACATACTGCGAGGCTGGTACCCGGGGGTGGCTCGGCGCCCTGGTGGCCATTGTGTCGGTGTCCAAGACTGGACCACTGAACTGTGTGCAGCGGCCCATCCGGAGAGGCAGAGTGTACCAAACGACGCAGTGCAGCGGCGAGTCGCACCGGGGAAACGGTTGAGAGGCAAGCTGAGCAATTCCACGGATGCCAACAGGCTTGGCGATGAGGCGGGCCAGCGTGCGCAGTTGCACCTCATCTTTGTCACCTCCAGCGGGCTGTCGGGGGTCACCTGTGCGAATGACAAGCTGGCTCTCTGCATTGGTCAGAATGGCAGCCGAGGAGGGCTGCCCCCCTGTTGCTCCTTGTCGATTACAATGACATGCGCATTGTTGAGGAAGTTCTTCACTTCACTCTAGAAGGAGCTGAAGCGCGGCCGACCCCTATGTGAGCAGTAGCATGTGAGCGCTACTGACCGAAGGGGGAGCATGACGCGCACTGCCCCTTCACCTCCGGCTGGGTTATGGCGATGTCCCCAAGCCCTGCTGCCTTGTGCTCCGCTGCTTCGGTGAAGGGCACATGGTCAAAGCACGTGTCGATCATTTCAGCATCCCCAGAAACCTTCCGTACGACTATGAGCGGGCGTAGCGATTCCGGGGCATCCGCCAAAAGGCAACATAGGTTTTTGGGGGGGTGTTCGAACCCAAGGTTTGGAACTTAGAGTTCCGAACCCAGGGTTCTGGAACTCCGAACTAAGAGTTCGGAGCCTCGAACCCAGGGTTCAAACATCGAAGTTCCCTCCGAACCCTGGGTTCGAACTTTGAGTTGAACTCCAAGTTGAACTCAACTCTGAACTTCTTGAACTGGAGTTGAACCTGGAGTTGAACTCTGAAAGGCGAAGAGTTTGAACCCAGGGTTTGAACATAAGAGTTTCCGAACCCAGAGTTCGGAGTTGAAACCCAGGTGTCGAACATAGAGTTTCCGAACCCAGAGTTCGAACATGGAGTTTCCGAACCCAGAGTTCGAACTCTTGTATCATTGCTTCTTGTTCTCTCATTTTATTTTTTCGCAAAAACCCCATTAGCGATTTCGTGTGTCTTCTTCTTCTTTTGCTTGTGCTTGCAGTTGAGTTTGTGGTTTCTGTCATTGTAGTGTGCTCTCAGTAATTTTATTCGCAAAACCCCCCACAAAGCGATTCTGTGTGGCTTCTTCTCCTTTTGTTTGGTGATTGTTGGTGTTCGAACCCCGTTCGAACTCTGGAGGGGCCCCCTTGAGAAGAAAGACTCCTCGTCATTGACAATCTTTTTCTTTGTTTTGTCTTTCTTTTATTTCTTCGCCAAACCCCCCCATAAAGTGGATTCGTGTGGCTTCTTCTTCTTTTGTGGCAGGGACTGGTCCTTGGCAGTCTTTTTCAACTCCTCCTCATTGACAATCTTTTTCTTTGTTTTGTCTTTCTCTTATATTTCTTCGCAAAAACCACCCATAAAGCGGTTTCGTGTGGCTTCTTCTTCTTTTGTGGCAGGGACTGGTCATTGGCAGTCTTTTTCTTTGTTTTCGGCAAGCTTCTAAAAACAGCGGGGGGGTTGGGGGGGGCGCAGCCCCCCCAAACGTGGAGTTCCGGAACCCAGAGTTCGAAAACATACAGTTCCCGAACCCCGGGTTCGAACATAGAGTTCCCGAACCCAGGGTTTGAACATAGAGTTCAAACTCCAGGTTCAACCTGGGTTCGAGAAGTTCGAACCCAGGGTTCAACCCTGAGTTCCGGAGTTATATGTTCTCCCCCCCGGGCCCCCCGGGAGTTCGAACCCTGGGTTCCGGAACACTCCAAAAACCTATGCTCCCAAAAGGTTGGAAGCGATACGCACGACCGCGATGAGCGCAGAATGCTGCTAAGCTGTCCAAAACACTGTTTGCTCCAACACAGCATCCATGCAGACGAGTGCACACCAGAGGGAAGCAACAGACACGCTCGAGCAGCTCCAGTTGCAGAAATGAAGACCCAGCAGAGCTTAAGACCCTACCTCAATTACAGGCCCCCAAAATTTTATTTAAATGGGGTATTTTCACAAACTACAAACTACAAACTGGCAAAGCGGTGAGACAGAAAAGCGAAGCTCTTCCAAGGGCTGCGGCGCACAGGCTTTGCCGGTGGTAGCCGTTCAGCACCAAACTACGGAGCCTCAGCGACCGGTCAGGAGCAACAAAGAGCCGTCGCTCAGAGTTGCCCAAAACAACAGGTGGAGCCAAGTCCAGGCTCCGGTTTCCGTTCTGTCTCGGCAAACAACGGACAACCCCTGTGTTTTGTTCCGTCGCGATCGTGCACACCAAAATCCAAAAGTCCACGGCCCACTGCAGCGTGAGCGGCTTCCGGAAGAGAAGTGCGAAGACCAGTGTCGCAGGCAACCCACCTAGGCAACCGCCATCACGTCACAAGGCGTGCCAAGCACGAAAACGGTCTCAGATGCAATACAGTCAACACAGGCAACAAATGTGGACCCACACAGGCAACCTGCCGGAGTCCAACACGTGAGTTGTGCGACCAGTCCGCTCTGGTGCACATGGACACCGCCTCCAGCAGAAGCGAACCAGCGGTGAGTTGGGACACAGGGTCAGCTGCTAAGGAGGCAGAGATCGCCATGTTGGACATTGACATGCAGGTCACCGCTTCCACGGCATTTCAGCATCGCCGCACGGTTGTGGCGGCTATGGCGATGGAAGACACCTCTTCGAAGCCACTCCAGAGCCGAAAAAATTTCTTTATATGTGAGAGATGTTTTTATTCAGATGCTCGGATAAGTTGCAAGCAGCTTGAGCGGCCGCCAGCCCACGATGCAGATCTGAAGCCGAAACCTTGAGATCGTTGCTTGTGCAAAAATACCAAGTCTTGTGACCAATGCCTTCAAGTCTTTGACATGCTCAGTACACTTTGGGTCCTCATCGCTCTTTGTGAAAAGTTGTACTGAGCTGCCTGTTGAGTGGTGGAGCCGCTCAGTGTGATGGGCTGCGATATGTATATCATCAGGCTGCTGACTGCAGTTTGGAGTGCAAGCCAATTTTTCCTGCGATTCCTGGATTTTCTGAGGTGCAATGGTTATCTGGATATATTCTGCATGGTTTTGGTTTTGCAGAGGTTTGGCATGGAACCTTGGTTTTCAGCTGCGAGAACAGTTTTCGACATGTGGCATGAGTTGCTTGAGCTTTTGAGTGAGATGAGTGAATGCTGTGAGCCGTTAGTCCGCATGAGTTCTCGAAGGCCTCAAGGTACCTTCTCGAACAGCTGTAGTGTATGCGAGTTTGTTTGCCAGCGTGGAGCTTGTAGAGAAGCTGTGACGGTATGCTTTTGAAGCGAAGTTTTGTTTTGGCATGTGCTGAAGCACATGTGAATCCGGAGTGCCGCGCTTTATGTCTGGCTCAAGGCTGGAAAGCTTTGAGACTGAAGCTCGTTGAAAGATTGAGCCGATGATGAAACATGTTCTGAGGCTCAACAAAGCAAAGCTTTAGTTGACAGCAGTGCAGTGCAAGAACAGCTGAACACTTCGTTTGTTGCGCGAGCAAAAGTCTGTGCAGACCTTGACGGGTTGTTCATGGTTTGAAAGTTTTACATGGTAGCGGAGCACTGTTTGTGCTCCCACACCATTTCCGCCGACCCAAAGAAGGTGTTATGTCTCCAAGGCCTATAGGTCCAAGTGCTGAGGCGCCAGCTCCGTGTAGTCACTGTAGTCCAGGTCTTGCTGAGGCTGGAGGCGAGTATGGGTGTGGTACAGCTGGGTGTGGGCAACAGGAAAGGAGGCAAACAGGTGTGGAAGGTGTGAGTGGTGTTGGGTCAAGCGATCCGTGGTTTACCGGTGTTCAGAGAGATCCCTGGGCGTTGTACGGAAATCGTATGCGTGCTGGAATGGGACCGATGGAGTCTCATATTAGCGTGCCATGTCCACCTTCGAGCGGTACGCCTTCAGTTGCAAGTGCGTGTGCTGGTATTAGGCCAGTGGCGCCAGCTCCAGGTTTGTCAGTGCCTTCAGGTCCTGCGAGGAATCTTTCGACAGTTCCGAATCAAGGATGTTGCAATCAGGTTTCTGGAGATAATGTGAGTGCAGGGAGACATCTGCTTGATCGCATGAGTTCGCGTGAGTTGCAGTCCTTGTATGCAGATCTTAGCCAAAGACTGAATGTCCCTGTGAGTGGGCAGTTTGTTCCTGAGAGATTGGGGCAGTCGCCACCTGATTTGAATGTGCCAGCTTTCGTGAGACATCAAGGTAACACGTTACCTGGTGTTCCAGCTCCAGCTGAAAATGCGAGGAGCAGTGAAGACAAAGACGTCTTTAGTCGCAGTGAGAAGTGGCTAGGGTCTCCACCTACGCCAAATCATCAAGCGTGGAAAGGGCGTGAATCTGAAGTGCTGGGCATGAATGCCTATATTCACGAGTTGGTTGCATGGGCGAACCAAGCAAGTGTTGAGTTTGGGAAGGAGATCGCTCAGGCCGCGCGATGGCCTACACAGATTGCATGGAACACGTTGTCTAAGAGTCAACAAGCGCGAGGAGTTCGTTTGTTTAGTGTGCTGAAGGCAGCGTTTGCAGATCATGGGCGGATAACTCTTATGATCCAAAGTTTTGGAGAAGGGCTTGACATTGTTGCAGTCGCCATGCAGGGAGATGTTTTTGGAAACTCTCTTTCGTATATGGGCAATGGTTTTGAGTTGCTGAGGCAGCTTGCCAAGGAGTTTTCTCTGAGAAGCCGTGCTGAGGCTATGAGTCTCAGGGCGATGCTGATGGCAAGAACGTTTCGAGCGCAGGACTCGTCAGCTCCAGTTGCTGACACAGTGCGTCAGATTGAGGTGGCAGTGGCAAGGTTTGTGCGTTTACTTTCGACGCTAGATCCTAGAGATGCTGCTGGGTTTCCTTTGACTGACAGTGATCAGCTTACGCTTTTGATGAGGTCTTTGCCTGAGAGCGCGAAAGCGTATACGTTACATCATTCGCAAGGTGAGACATATGCCTCATATCGATCTTCAGCTTTGCGATGGGAACATCAGCAGCGTTTGTTTCTTGAGTTGCAAGGGGCCAAAGGTTTGTTTGGCTTGCATGAAACCGAGTTTTCTGAGAGCGCAGGTTCGCCTGAGGCAGGTGAGGGAATGGATGGTCACGTCTTTGGCATGAGTGCTAGGCCTTCTGATGCTGGGAGCGGTGTGAAGTGCAACCGTTGTGGCAAGAAGGGGCACCAAGTGAATCAGTGCACGGCAGACCTTTCCAAGGTTAAGTGCTTCAAGTGCGGAGAGATGGGCCACATATCTTTGAACTGTGCCAAGGGCAAGCAGGGTGATGGTTCTCAGTCGAGTGCGAGGCCTAAGGGTTCTGATGGCAAAGGTGCTGCTGCGGCCAAGGGTCAAGTTGCTTTTTCGCCTAAAGGCAAGAGCAAAGGAAAAGGAGGAAAGAAAGGAAAAATGTTTGCTCTGTTTGATGAGGAAACGGGGGTTTGGTGGTACACAGATGCTGATGAATCTTTTTACACCGAGGAAGGTGATGAGCAAGAAGCACAGCAGGTGGACTCCACTCTTGTGTTATCTTGTGTCATTGAGTTAACTGATGAGCCCAATACGCGGTTTAAAGCTGTCCTTGAGGACAGCGAGTCGGTGTCTGTTGTGCTCCAAGAGCAGTTGTGTCAACCTTTGTTGCAGTCGTTGGGTCAATCGCTTGGAACTGAGTTTTGGCTGCTTGACTCAGGTGCGTCATGCTGTGTTGTCAATCACGTGACTTTGAAGACGCTTCCGCATGATGAGTTGACTGCATGTGGTTCGACGTTTATGGCTGCGAATGGGACTCCTGTTCCTTTTGATGGTCGTTGCCATGTTGTGCTAAAGGTGCGCACAAAGGATTCAAGTGGAGCTACCAAGAATGGTGTCTGCAAGATTCCTGTGATGGTGGGTGACACTCCTTACAATATCCTGTCAACGCGGACTCTTGGAAGGCATGGCTGGCGTGTTGTCTTGGATGAAGGCGTTTCTGTGTGTCATGTGAAGTCGGGTGTTGATATGATTGATACCTGTATTTGGTGTGACACGCCTTGGATCCGCGTGATTCCTCATTCAGAAGGTGATCTCTTGTTGCCGTCGGGTGACTCAGTTGATCCTGCTCTAATTTCCTCAATTGGACATGTTGCAGTTGTTTCGCAGAAGACCAAGGAAGATCTTGAAATTCACAGAGCAAAGGGCCACATGCCCTTCCATCCCGATTGCGAACATTGTCTGAAGTCCCGAGGTGTTACCCAACACAGGCGAAAGTCTGAGCGCGGAGTTGAAACAGAGATTGTTGCAGATTTTATGTTTCTGGACTCTTCTGGAGAGATGATCAGCGTGGCTGAGCGCCAGACAAGTAGCTCTTTCAAGGTCCTCGTCCTTCGTGAGGCCTTTTCTTCTTCTATTGGGGCTGTGATGATAACTGAGAACATTGCAAAAGACAGAGGTCTTCTTCTGAAGTGGCTTGCTGAGTTTGGGTTGTCGTCCTCACAAGCAAGCATTGTGCTTTTGACAGATTCCGAAGAAGCGGTGAAGTCGTTTGTTGCAGGTGCGTCGGATAAGTACATTTTTATGGTGCGCAAGGCTGCGCCACAGGCTCATGAACAGCTTGGCGGTGCGGAAAGGACAGTCCGGGTCCTTAAAGAAGGGCTAGCTACCTTGCAAAGTGATTTTCAGTCGCTTGGTTGCGTTTTGTCGTTTCGGAGAGACTTGCTGCAGCTTGCACTTTCTTACCTGTGCATGAGTGTGAATGCGAATGGCAAAGCTTTTGGCGGTGAACGCCCAAAGGAGGTTGCAGTTGGTCGAAGGTTGCCAGATACCCCTTTTGCGTTGTTTGGGTCCAAGGTGCTTGCTGAGGTCCCTGAGTCTGTGAAGGCTTTGTGCCCGAATATGTCGCGTTTTGAGGCGGCAGCGTTTCTTCATCCGCAATTTGGGTCGCTTGGGAGCTTGGTGTATGCGCATGTGCGTGTGGGCCAGGTCTTGACGCCAAAGGTGTTTGTTGCCAAGTCGATCAAGCTTGTGTTTCCGATTGAGCTCGTTTTTGAGTCGGGGATGTTTGAAGTTTTGCGTCGTCGTGGTGAGCTTGGGCCTGAGAGGCCAGATCATCCAGTTGCGCCTCGGATTCTTCCGAGTTCCCAGGGTGCCTCTTTGAAGTGTCCTGTTTCCGGTCCTCCAAAGGAGTTTTTTGAGAGGTATGGGTTCTCAGGTGATTGCCGAGCGTGTTCCAACATGGCACAATTTGGGTCTAGGAAGGGCTCTTCTCACGGTCGGGCTTGCTGTTTGAGGTCTGAAGCGTGGTTGCGGTCGCAAGTTGCAACAGATGACAGCATGGACGTTGAAGTGCCTGTGGCTTCGGATGCAGAGGCTATGCGTGAAGCTCTTTCTGAGCTAGCCGAGGATGAGTCGAGGCAAGACCGAGCTGTGGAGGAGGCTCAGGGTTCTCCTGTGCCTCCCCCGGCCAGTGGGGACGCTGCTTCGTCTGAGGCTCCAGCGAGGATTGTGAGCGAGGCGGCCCCTAGTGGTCGTGTTTTTACGCGTGGTTGTCCTGCGTGTGAGTCTGGCATGAATGCTCCTGGCATTCGTCACAATGCTGATTGCAAGCGAAGGAACCAACATCTGAGTGTTAGATTTTCTGTTTCTGGGGAGCCCGATGATGACGAAGCTTCATCCAGGCGTCTGCCTGAAAATCTTGAAAGAGCTGCTGCCCCTGAGTCTGAGGGCATTGGGGCTCTTGATGAGGACACTGAGATGCCGTTTGCCGATACTGGAAGTGAAGGCGGAGGCAGCCTAGAGGCTGAAGAAGTGCTTCGTGGAAGCAGTGCTGTGAAACGCTCCTCTGAAGTCCCGTTGGAAGATCTAGAGCGTGAGATCAGGCAGGACCAAGAAAGGGTTGTTTCAGTTATGGTTACCTTCCACAATTGCGACACAGGGAATGATGTTCACATGCCTCTTGCGAGTTTTGTTGAGCAGGCGTTCCAGGTTTCCAATTATGTCCCTTTGCTTTCAGGGCTTGTGGATTCGGTTCAGTTCGCCCCGAACTCTACGAGTGTTGTTTTGCCGTTTGGGAAAAGGTCGCATTTGAGACTTTGGAAGCCTAGTTCCGCTGTTGATGACTCTACCTTGGGTGAGCTTTCAGGAGATCAGGTCATGGAAGGCATGGTCAAAGAAGTAAACAATTTGAGTCACATGGAAACTGGGGATCTGTTGACTGCTTCAGAACTTCAGAGTCTTGAGAAGAGGTTCCCAGGTACCTTGAAGGTCATCCCTAGTCGTTGGGTCACGACACAGAAAACACCAACAACTGTGCGAGCTAGGATTGTCATCAAGGATATTGCTGGCAAGAACTCAGAGTCTGCAAGGGCTTTGGGCATTTCAAGTCCTACTCCTAGTGCCGATGCTTTGTTCACGGTTCTTGGGGTTGCAGGTTGCAGAGATTGCGTGATTGCGAGCGCTGATGTATCTCACGCTTTCATGGCTACGCCTTTGAGGGAAAGGGATGTGGTTATGAGGTTTCCTCTGTCAGTGTCTTCGGTTTCGGGGGATCCTTTGTATCTTCACCTCAACAAAGCCCTCAATGGGCTACGGAAGGCTTCGCAAGAATGGATTTACTTCGTAGGGGAGACTGTGAAGGTTTTGGGGCTTCAAAGTTGCAGCTTAGAGCCGTGTCTGTTTTCAGGCATGCTTGAGTCAGGTCCCTGTTTGCTGTTGGTCTATGTGGATGATTTTCTGTGCATTGCGCCAACAAAGGAGGATGTAGATCACATCTTTGGAGTGATTGAGGAGAAAGTTGAACTTAAGAGAACTGGGTTGATCAATTCTTCCAAGGATGGCGGTGGCACTTTGCGGTTCATTGGTAGGGTTATCTCCAGGAGAAAGGGGGAGTCCTCTATCACAGTGTCTTTGCCAGAAGATTATTTGGATGAGAGCTTCAAGGCTTATGGTCTTTCGGGAAAAGGTTCCTCAAGTCCCCCGGATGTAGCGGTTCATGTTGAGAAGCTAGATGGGGTTCCATTGTCTCCTGAGGCGTATGCCAGGTTCAGGTCTGCGTTGGGGAAAGTAGCTTGGATGACGCAGACTCGCCAGGACTTGCGTGCTTATGTGTCAATCTTGGCAACACAGCAAGCTACACCCACAAATCATACTGAGCATGGTCTCCGAGCCTTGCTTCGATTTCTGAAGAACGACATGTGCGTGGTTGTGCGGTTGCCTGCTGCGAGTGATGTGTTGGCTCCCTCGCAACACTACCAAGGAAAGAGACACCTTGTGTGTTTCTCTGACGTGTCGCATGCGCCTCTGAGGTGCACGAAGCGCCGTGGAATCAGTGGAGGAGTGTTGACACTTGATGGCTGCGTGATAAAGACTTTGTGTCGCCACCAACAGCTTGTGTCGCTGTCGTCGATGGAGTCAGAGCTGTTTGCGTTGCAGTCGGTTGCTCAAGAAATGTCGAGTCTTGGAAAGTTCATGGCAAGGGTTTTCATGTCGTTTCGAGAAAGCGAGGAAGTTGAATTGCCTGGGGTACTTTACAGTGACTCAGAAAGCGCTTTGAAGCTTCTTCGCAATTTGGACACACCCAGGCAAAGCAGACATCTTGAGATAAGAGTCGAGTGGCTTAAAGCTCGTGTCGCGGCGGGTTCTTTGGTCCTTGCTTTTAAGAAGGGAATCGAAAACCCGTCAGACCTCTTGACTAAGTGTTTGGGGTCCTCGGTTTTCGGTATACATCGTGAAGCGTTGGGCTTTGAGTCGCTGTCGGGACCACTTGCGTCTTTATGCAATCATGAGAAGAGATTGGTGATGGTTGAAGTGTGCTGTCGACCGCAGTCGAGTGTTCAAGATGCATGTCGCAGAGTCGGGATGAGTTACGTTGGCGTGACTGAGAACATGCAGAGTGACAGCGTGTTCAAAGAGGTGCGTCGATATCTTCTGAACTTTGCGTGTGACTGCGTGTTTGTGCATGTGTCCACGCCTTGCTCTTCTGGATCTTACTTGCGTCGGTTCTCTGGCGGGAGCTCGTCGAAGTCGGATTGGGAATGGTTTGAGGTGTTTCCTTGTGTGTTGAAGTACTTGAAGCTTGGGAAGCACTCGAGCTTTGAGCTGCCATGGAACAATGAGATTTGGCAACATGACTTGTGCCAGAAGGTGCTGAAGAAGGCAGGCCACACGTTCGATGTGCCGGTGAGGTTGTGCATGACTGGTCTTTGTTCGAAAGGGGGTGAGCCTATAGGCAAAGTCTTGGGTTTTACTTCGACTTCTGAAAAGTTTGTGTCTGCCCTGAAGTGTTTTTCCAGCTGCAGGTGTGCTAAGCATGCAAATCTGTGGCAGGTTGGGTGGACCGAAACAGGTTTTTACACTCCGAAACTCGCTGATGCGATTGTTCGAGGTGCGATCAAAACGTTGCAGTGATGTTTTTTTTGGGGGGGGTTTGGGCCGGGCTGTTGGCTGGGTTCGGATTCTCCTCTTGACGCCGATTTCTTTGCGGACGTTGAGGTCTGCAGACAAAGCTCCGTACTGGTGCTAGTTGTTTTTGCGTGTGAAACCTAGGTGCGAACTCGTGCTGCCATGGTTCTCACGACCGAGGGAGCTGCGCCGTTTGCTGGATAAGATGGATTCTGCAGATGGCTTGGCTTCGACTGCCAATACTTCTATGACCGATGGGACCAAGCGTCTCAGAGATGTGGGTGGATATCCAGAGGATGGGTCTACTGCATCAGGTTCTGCTTGCGGTGCCCAGCTGCCGATTTCAAAGGGAAGCGCAAAGGGTGTCGTGAGCACGCCCAAGTGTTATGAAGACCTCGTCGATGCCTTCGAGGGGGAAGAGTTTGGGGAGAGTGACAATGTGATTGTCGTGAGCTATGCGGGTACTGAGGTCACCTCGGTGCCACTTCCAAGTGATCTCTCCGTGGAGGATTGGGGTCGAACAATCTGCGATCTGCCAAAGGTCCAGAAGAATAAGACTTGGTTTAAGAAGTCCTATGCGGCCTTGGTCAAGCTATCCAAGGAGGATAGCGACCTTGCAAGCTATCTCAATTGGGTCAAGGAGAAATTTGGTCGCAGTTACGATCCGACGACCCCATCCAGTCAAGCCTCGGATCTTGCGGGGTATTTGATGAGGATTGGTTTTTCAAAGCAGAAGGGATTCCAGCGCAAACTGGCGGAGGAGTGAAATCCTTGCTGGATTGCGGAAGAGTCCTTTATCAATTTGGGAGCATGGGTACATGTATGAGCGGTGAAAGCTGGTATTCTCAAGGATGCCTATGTGTATATTCACTGCTAGAAGTCCGTTGGACTTCGCTTTGGGTGATATCCTTTCTGGCATGAGAGAAGAGCTGGCTATCTGGCGCGAGATTTTCCAATACCTATGTTTTCGTCGCTTCGCATGGGTTGCAGCGTGGCTACATGGTTGGCAATGTTTCAATGTGTGCTTGGTGTCGAGAAGTGCTTGTTTTTGGACAGCAGCAAGGATGAGAGATGATACACACATCGAAAGGGGGTGTGAAAAGTTGTACCTCTGAGCTGCCTGTTGAGTGGTGGAGCCGCTCAGTGTGATGGGCTGCGATATGTATATCATCAGGCTGCTGACTGCAGTTTGGAGTGCAAGCCAATTTTTCCTGCGATTCCTGGAATTTTCTGAGGTGCAATGGTTATCTGGATATATTCTGCATGGTTTTGGTTTTGCAGAGGTTTTCTCAAAGCACTGGAAGATTTTCACTGGGAGCTGCGGTTTTCATGGCATGGAACCTTGGTTTTCAGCTGCGAGAACAGTTTTCGACATGTGGCATGAGTTGCTTGAGCTTTTGAGTGAGATGAGTGAATGCTGTGAGCCGTTAGCCCGCATGAGTTCTCGAAGGCCTCAAGGTACCTTCTCGAACAGCTGTAGTGTATGCGAGTTTGTTTGCCAGCGTGGAGCTTGTAGAGAAGCTGTGACGGTATGCTTTTGAAGCGAAGTTTTGTTTTGGCATGTGCTGAAGCACATGTGAATCCGGAGTGCCGCGCTTTATGTGTGGCTCAAGGCTGGAAAGCTTTGAGACTGAAGCTCGTTGAAAGATTGAGCCGATGATGAAACATGTTCTGAGGCTCAACAAAGCAAAGCTTTAGTTGACAGCAGTGCAGTGCAAGAACAGCTGAACACTTCGTTTGTTGCGCGAGCAAAAGTCTGTGCAGACCTTGACGGGTTGTTCATGGTTTGAAAGTTTTACACTCTTGCTGAATTGTCGAAGAAGGCTCTCGGCTCTCCAAGAGATTTTGGCCTCACAAGTGCCTTCGCTGACATCTTCAATCACTTCGTGAAGCTTCGTCTCCTTCAGCTTGAACTTGCCTAGGAATCCACGGGCATCTGTCATGACCTTTAAAGCAATCTTTCAAATGGTGCCATGCACGCTACCCTGCTGCACCTCATTTGGACTCTGGACAAAAACCAACTAACCAACATGGTCCAACTGAGCCACACAACCAGCTTTGGGTTTTTGATGTGTTGAGTTGACTGACATTGCACGCCCAGAACTGGCACAGTCCATGAGAAGTGAAGGTGTGAAAGTTGGTATGTGTCCTGTCCCTTTCGTCGTATTCTTCGTATCTGCTGCGTTGATTTATTCCCGGAACTCGATTCTTCAATCGAATCATAATCAATGTAATCGCAATATCAGCAACAGTATTCCCCAATACACTTATTACCGTATGTGGGGAGCCGAATATGTACAACATAAGATCTTGGAGGATCAAAGCGCTCAAGATTTTCGCACATGCGATCTGGAATTCGAGCATTCGTGAAACATCCTGCATGAACACAAGTTGCATCGCATAAGCGATGCCCCACTGCAGTGACCACTGTCACAAAGCGAGGAACAAATCCCCTGCAGGATTTCTTTGCGAGATTGGCAGCTGCTGGCTGAATTGCTTGGGGACGCACCCAGACCACCGTTCGGATATACAATAGAGCCGCTTGAAGGTCGCAATATAGAGCCGCTGTTGCTCAAGTAGAGCCGCAGCCTAAAAATGCCAGCCGGCTTCACGAAAATCAGCAAAACAGAGGTAATACCGGGTTTGAGCAAACAAGCGGTGAGACACGATTGTTGCATTCTTGCACGAATGCATAAACTATATACCTTTAAATTGTTCCGAACGGCAGCCGTTGTGCTACACAAATCGCAGATGCTCATGATTCTCGCTCTTTGAGCCAGGAAACTCGCATTGAACCAACAAAACATTGGGGTCATTAGGGTTGTATGTTAGATTTCCAAAAGCCGGTTAAAAGTTGGGGCTGCTGGGTATTCAAGAGCAATCATGTTGATTCTTTATGTGTGGCAGCTTTCTGGCGGTGGCTTCTGCTTCTCCTCGGTCCTCGCTGGTTGCATGATATGTATTCATGATTTGGGGGCTTGCAGACTTGCAGACTTACTACTTTCATTTTGATTTGTCATGTTCACATCCTTCATCCTTGTCGCTGCAACATTTAAGTGATTTGTCCGAATTTGTCCAATTTGTCCTAGTTGTCGTAATGGAAGGTGGCTTCCGTTGTTGGTAGCGATTTTTGCAAGGCATGTTTTGGATTGGCCGCAACAGACATGATCGGCAGATGCGGCAAATGGCTCAAACTTGGAGCTTTTAACGTTAACTTCGCCAAGAATGCGTAGGCAAACGGTGAACAGTGAACGTGCTTTAGGCTTTAGGTTCTGTTTCTTGTAAGTCTTGAAACTCTTTGCTTGAGCACGCCAGCTTTTAAAAATATTCAAGACTCAAGATGCGAGACCGTTTCCGAACAGGCGAACAAGTTTTTCAAGGTTTCAAGGTTTAGGGCTCTCAATTTGGAGCATGTTACTGCAATGTTGCTTTTGCTTGCAAGCTATGCAAATGGATGTCGTCGCAAACGTTCTGCGACAGGGGCCAGGATTCCGCATTTCCTGCCAGAGCCAGCGTGGTTCACAACTCGATTGAAAGAAACAGGTCTGCACCAGCTTTTGACACGTATTCCGCGAGCTCAGCAGTACAGCGCAGCAGCTGATGTACACAAAGCAGTGATTGAAGCAGCTGTGCTTGTGCAGCCGGGAGAGATTTATTCTGGACCCCTTACGAAGTGGGGTCAGGAAGCGCATTTTCTCTGGAACTATTATGGGCACCCGTGTGCCTCGTACAGTCTTGGTGTAGTTGATTGGTTTCGCTTGACAACACCAGCAGATATTTCCACTGCCCGTGGCTATCATGGGAACCTGGATCTTCGGCATTTTTGTTTTCAGACCAATGCTGCGCCGGTACAGGAAGACACACGTTTGCATAAACCTTCCAATCCCCAGGATTCCCGACAGCTTGGTGATATCATGGACTTGTGGGGTTTAGAGGGTCTCCGTTGCAACTTGGCTGACGTGCCTGTGCTGTTCTTGCCGGAATGTGTGCTGGAACTGATTTGCAAGGGACGGTGGGCGACACTTGTTGTGCACGCGGATGGCAACCATCGAAGCACTCGCAAGGTCAACGTAGAGGCTCTGAAGTTTATGAGCAGCGTCATGACCTGGCCTTCTGCTGCGAACTTTACAGGAATCTGCAGACAGATCGGCGCTAGCGCGCCGACACCAACTGGTGCTTCTCTGCTCACGGAGCAGATGGGTCAAGCTTTGCTAGACCATGTGCGGCATGTCGAGGAGGGCGGCGCCGAGGCTCAGGCCTTAGAGGCGGCTGTACAGGCTTTGCAATGTCATGTCGATGCTTTCGCCAAGGCAGGCCCCCAGTCTCGTGCATCTAATGTGAAGTCATCAGCCGAAGACTTGATCAAATCTGTGAGTGCTGCGCAAGCTGTTCGCAATCGGAGCAAGATGGCAGAGCTGCAGGAATCCTTGTTGACAAAGTTTACACCAGGCGAGCTGACAGATGCCGTTCGCCATGTGATCGCGAAGGCTTCTAGTGGAAGCACAGTGTCCAAGAACCAAGTGTCATGGTCATGGTCATAATTGCTTAGCCGTTTTTTTGGGCACCTTCTCGGCACGGTTTGAGTTTTTATTATGAAGACATGTCCAGCCTTGAAATAAAACCCCAGGTAAAGGTTGATGCGGCCTACGCCTTGTGTGTTCGGGAAGATTTGAAGAACAACTCCGGGCCCATATTCGTGTGGGCTGACTCAAGTCCGCAAGCTGGGTCCGACTATCTCCTGTCCTGTTATGTCACCATTGCCAGGGATGCCGTGGTGAAGTGCTGGGACCATTTTGAGAAGCTCGTTGCATCCGTGGCAGATTTTCAAGCTGCGGCCAATGCCTCAGAGCCAGAGTCTTTGTTAGATTGTGTGACAGCGCGGTCTGCGTCGGCAGGGTTTTTGGTCAGCAACATGAAGAAGCATTGTCAAATGCCTATGTCGTTAGGCAGTGGGCAAACGAGTGTGGAAGACAAAGGTAAGGCCATGGCTGTGAAATTTCATCGTGAAACTGGTGACCTCATGGCACTCAAAAATGTCTGCCAACGTGTTGCGAGCTTTACGACGGATATGGGAACCGAGCTTGGTGTGCCTGATCTTGCAGGGGGACCAGTTGAAGCCTACTTACCAGAGTATATGAGGTCGGGTCTTTTGCCGGAACGTGACGGCATGGAGGATTTGTTTGCAGATGTACCGCTGGAGCCAGCTGTTGCAGACCATATTTTTCCAAAAGCTCTTGTTCTCCCCGGCTTAGATCACATCGCACACAACTTGCAAGAAGACTTGGATAAAAACCTTCGATCATGGGATTCTTGGCTTCCGGGTTTTAAGGGGATTTCTCAGCTACTTAGCAAGAAGCACTTGTTGAAAAGGCTCATTGCTACGTGCATTGAAGGAACCCCGCTCTCATCGCTGAAGAATATCTTTGAGAATACTGTACCTTCAATTGCAAAGTGGAGGTGGGGCACGATTTGCAAAACTCTGCCAGCTGTGCTCTCTGTTTTCAAGCCTTTGAAAATGGTGTGGAATGCGGAAAAGTTCCAGCAGCAACAGCGTTCTTCCGCTGATGCTGCTGAAGATGCCGGGGAACAGGCGGAGGAAGATGAGGATATGAAGGTCCTCAAGGTGGGAAACATTACATCTGCTTTGAGGAAGCCCTTCTGGTTGGCATATTCGCACATGCTTTTGAGTCTCCATGAAGTGGCAAATCGGATTTCTGCTTGGGGTTCGGGTTGCCCTTGCCACGGCTGGCTGCAGGCAAAGCCGAA